GAGGCAGGAGGATCGTTGCGAGTTTCAGTCCAGCCTGGGCTACAAAGTGAGCTCAAGGCCAACCTGAACTGCATAGTGAGACCCTGTCTCAAAAAAAAAAAAAAAAAAAAAAAAAAAAAAATCAACTGTGGGCCAAGGTATAGTTTAGTGGTAGAGCACTTGCCTAGCTCAGAGTTCCAGCCCTAGTACTGTGAAAACAAACAAGGAGAGAACTCAACTGAAGCCAAAATATAATGCTTAATTGTATGTGAATGTCCAATATATGCAAGGCACCAGACTAAGCTATCCATATATTTTATACATTTTAAAATTAATATATAACCCACACACCATGACATTCACCCTTAGAGAGTGATTTGGCTAAAAATGGAGAAAGCTTTACTGTCATCACCCTCCCTTGTACTATTCATGCTATCTGTTATGGCTTGGGTCTAGATGTCTCCCCAAAGCCTCGTGTGGTCATAGCTCGGGCATTTTCAGAGGTGTTGAATGTAGAGTGTGGGATGCTGGATTAAAGCTGTGTGATTACACTGTTTGGCACCGGCCTAACCCTGGTAGCCTGGATACAACATAAGGGACAGAAAGAGGCTGGCCTTCCTCCTTGCTTGCTTGCTTTTGCTGTCTTCTGCCCACCACGAACTGTTCTCCTCTGCACTGCCCCTCTGCCAGCCACCCTGCCTTGCAGACAGCCCCTTATGGACTGAAACCCCTACAAACTGAGCTAAATAAACATCTCCCCCTTTAACTTTGGGCGTTGGGTATTTTGTCTCAGCAATGAGAAAGTAACTTAAGACAACCTTCAACACCAGAAGATTTCAGAGGATTCACTTAGAAAACATGTATGCTTGTAGACAACTGTAGGGAGCAAGGGACAAGGAGTTAACATGAGATATCATTAGCAATGCACAACAGGCAGGGGACGTAGCTCAGTGGCACAAGTGCTTGCCTGGCAAGAGCAAGGTCCTGAGTTCCCTTCCCAGTACCCCACCCCCAAAAAATACCAGCGTAGGAACAGGGACTTAACAAGACATTATAGAAAACTCCAATATTTTAAATTATATATTTTATTGAAAATCGTAGTTAATGTGAAATACAAAACTTTAAAAAACATGTTATTGGTAAAGTTGTCAAATTTTTCACACAAGGATCCTTTCAGCTTTGCCCCTCCTCAGCAGCCGGCTCTATTTTTCAGAGGAACATTTTGCTCGAGTAAGAGCTCTACTGCCCTCTGGTGGTGAGTCAGCACACGCTTGTGACTGAGGAAAGACGGCCGATTTGGGGGGTGACCGGCAGCCGCAACTTTCCCTGCTGGAGGAAACACGCCCCAGAGGGCTGATCCTGTAGGGAAAGTGTTCTTCCAGCTGACAGCCAAAACCATAGCAAAAACTGTGTGAGGTTCACTCACTGCCTTCTTAGCAAAGAAAAACAAAGAGCAGTCAATACAAATGGGAGAGAACGTAGGAAAGCTCAAAGTAATTTCGGCTACTGCCCCACGCCCCAGGAGAGTGAAAAGTACAAAGAAGGCTTGGCGGGCAAGAAAAGCTTTCTTAGTGCCCTGATTTCCTACTGTCTTTATAAAAATGGACACCACTCCTCGAATCAATTGTAGGTGCACACTCCGGAGAGCACGTGCGCTCCAAGCAAGCCTCGTCTGAAGTGCGTGTCAGCAGAGCCTGAGTTCATTCTCCAGACCAAACACTTTGGACTTGAGGTTCTTCAGCTCGCCTTGTATCTTGTGTGCCCGCCTGTTGCTGTTGCGGACCTCGCACAGAATGGCAAGGTCCTGGTTTGCCTGCGAGTTCACTGTGGCCTGGAGATTTGAAAACACAAGAGGAAATGATTACGGAGTGAGCCAGGGGAAGACATCAGCCACAAAGGCCAGGCCATGCCAGCCGGCTCCGCGCTACGGCACTCTCAGTACATGCGGTAAATGCAATCCTTGGTTTGTTCAGTGACTTAGAGAAAATGTAGAATCAAAGTAGAGAAGGCAAGAAACTCTGCTCTCCCTTACAATATCAAAGGAGCTTTGGGATAAAGATCAATAACCAACCTGGTGTAAAAAGAACAGACCAACATAAACACTATTGGTATATCTGCCAAAGAACGAAAGTACCACCTCTCCTCAACCTTTCTCGGAATACAACAAACATGAGGATATGAGGGCGACTAGTCGAATCTCTAATCTTGAGGCAGTTTGGATTCTAACAAGCCAAGTCTTGGAAAAATTACTGTATTACTCAATTACTCACTTTTCCCATTTGTAAAAGAGGTAATTCTTTTTATCTACTCATAGCTTAGATGGAAGCGCTGATGCCGCCATTACATTATTTCTTTTCCCCTCTAGGGGGCACTAGCTGCACTGGTTTCCCCGGGAGGCTTGAAAGACCAAGTTATGGTTTGCAGATGATCCATTCCCCAAAAGGCTCATTGTGTTGAAGGCTTGGTTGCTGCTGGGCGTTTGGAAAGTGACCATATCTCAGGGCACTAACTTCATCAGTGGATGAAGGATAGTATAATAATGTGACGGCACTGGGAGGTGACAGAATGAGGAGGTGGAGCCTAATCACAGGGAGTGGGGGGGGGATGACTGGGGACTGCGGCGCGTCCCTGACTTCCTCTCTAGCCCTTCCTTGCTGCTTCCTTTTTCTTTTTTCTTTCTTTTTTTTTTGGTACTGGAAATTGAGCTCAGGACCTTGCGCTCTTCTCTGCTTCCTGGCTGCTACGTGATGAACAGATCTCCACCGCAGCCTTCTGCCATTATGCTTTGGCCGAGGTGCCACCTGACCACGGACAGAAATCTCTGAAACGATGAGCCAGAATAAATCTTTTTCGCTTTAAGCTGTTTATGTCTGATCACAGGGCCGGACAGCCCAGCAACACGGACGGTAATCTGTCAGGCTACCAGCAGGGAAACGGCCCGTCTTTCTTGCGGGGTGCAGCCAGGGAAAGAGCCAGGGCCGGAGCTACACTGCACCCCCGGACATCTTCAGAGCAGCCCTCGTGACAGTTTGCACACTTCCCCTCGCTCCCCGAGGTCACGACCAGCCGTTACCTTGTACAGCATTCGCTCCAAGTCTTTCAGCTTCTGTCGAAGAACCTTAATATCCGTCTTAAAGCCTTCGACTTCCAGGTTACGTCGATGCTCCAGGGCCTCGTAGCGTTTGGTCATGATCTGTAGACGCTTCCCCATCTTGTTAGAGCGGTCCTAGTGTATGACAGGAAGGCACTTAGGAGGCAGGGAGGCACTTCCCCAGCTGTCTGTCCTTCCGCCTCCAGCACAAATGCAAAGAACTTCGTACCTGGAAGATCTCTCTGTGCACTCCCTCCTCCTCTCGGATGCGGGCCAGCTCTTCTTCCAAGGAAACGCACTGCTCTTGGTACATGCTGGACAGCTTTTTCTCTTGCAGTAACTTATCCTTCAAGGACTGCAGGCCAAAGGCCAAAGAAATGTTAACTCCCAGGTTTACCACTTAGGTTATTCAAATAGCACTTAGGTATTGAAAGAAAAGGAACAGAATAAAAGGATTTCTGGAGGTATGAAATGAAGTAAGGGACAAGATGGCGAGATACGCTGGAGAACATCTAGAAACTTCCTATCCCCAGACAAGATTAGGTGTGTTCAGGGGTATGGCTGCAGACTGGAAACTTCCAGTTCCTCGACTATTCTTCTAGCCCCTTTTCTAAAATGGACAGAGTAGAAATTCTTTAAAATAGAACTACTGTTTTTGGCTCTGGAAGAGTTACACAATGGAGTTAAGAATGTATCCCGAGTAAGCTATTACAATATATGTGTTGGGCCACATTTCTTAAGTTTTGACCTATTTCATGAGGCTGCTGCTATCCCAGCTTCCTGGACTGAACGGTTCTTACATGGCAACCCGTAAGTTCCTTGGGATTCTCTGAGCTCCTTCAACGCCTCCAGAAAGACGAACCGTTTTTGTAATACGCAAGGACGTTACCTTAATATATTCACTGTGAGCATGATGCCTCTCACGGGAAGCTGGGAAAGCTTGTCCAGTTTTGTCCTCTCTCTTCTTACACTGCGCCCTATACTGCTTAATCTTTGACGTCAGCTGATCCTTTTCAAGCATCCATGACTTCTCTCTGCCTTGGTTCTCAAACTTCAGTTGCAGGAAGTCTTTGGTGCTCTCATACAGGAGTTCTTGGGCATGATGGAGGCTACAAAAAGGACAGACACAGACATGAAGGTTCTCACACAGCACATCTGAAATACTGTTCTTCCGCAGGACAAGACACAGATTCTTTCGACAGTGCACTGCAGTCAGGTGTGGTGCTACATGCTCGTAATTCTGGCACTCTGGCAGGCTCAAGTAGGAGGACCAGTAATTCATTTTTTGGTTTTCTTCCGGTACCGCGAATCGAACTCATGACATTGCACTTGCCAGGCAGGGACTGTGCCGCTGAGCTAAATCCCCAGCCCCTGGACTAGTAATTCAAACCCAGCCTGAACAGTACAGTGACCTAACAAGACTCTGTCTCAAAATAAAAAATAAAAAGGGCTGAGGCTGTAGCTCAGTGTAAAGGCCCTGGGTTCAATCCCAATACCACCAAAACAAACAAACGGACAGACAGACAGACAAGAACAATATAAGAATTTTGTAAAATATCAGAAGCTTGAGTGGTCTGATCACTGGCAACCTTATATGGCTTACTAGGAAAGTGTAATGTACCCTCCCACGCTCCTTGTTCACAGACTGGCCTTTCCCTGTGTGCCAATCTGAGGTTATACAATTAGAAGCATGACAGAAATGTTTATATACAGCCTGCTAAGTATGGCCCATTCCCAGCAATGATGTTTTAAGTAAGTGTTAACAGAAGTCCTAAAATATCAAAGATAGCTCTGCTTTTGTGGTTTTTTTGTTTTGTCTTTTTGAGACAGGGTCTCGCTATGCAGTTCAGGCTGACCTTGAGCTCACTTTGTAGC